AAAGTTACGATCTTTGGCTACCAAGTCTAACCTGCCTTGGGTAGTAGTTGGGGATTTTAATGACCTTCTTTTTCAGCACGAGAAACGAGGAGGAAACCCACACCCTGATAGGCTCCTACGCGGTTTTGGGGATACTATTGAGGAGTGTGGCCTATCTCAGATGGCTATGCAGGGATATCCGTTTACATGGGAGAGGGGAAAAGGAACGGCGGACTGGATAGAGGAACGTTTGGATAAAGTATTGGCCTCGGATGAGTGGCGCGAGATTGTTGCAGGAGCCAGAGTATCAAATCTTTTAACCCGCAAGTCGGATCATTCGGCTCTCTTTCTAAGCATCCATGACTCCGTAGGGAGGGGTGGGGCTAGTAGGAGGGGTTTCCGTTTTGAGAATGCATGGTTATATGATGAGGGATGCCGGGGTGTGGTGGAAAAAGCATGGGATGAAGGAAAGGACCGTGGACTGCAGGATTGCATAAAATTCTGTGGCTCTCGGCTATCTCGGTGGGGGGGTGACAGGTTTCATATGTTTGGAGAGAGAATTATGAGTTTGCGGAAAGAGCAGCTGCGTCTGAGAGGAAAAACGGATCCAGCCTCGTTAGCTGAGTTCCGGTCGTTGGAGGAACGGCTATGCCGAACAGAGACGCAGGAGGATGCATTCTGGAGACAACGAGCTAAGCAACACTGGCTCAAGGGTGCCGATGCCAATACAAAATTCTTTCACAGGTATGCCTCTCATCGTAGAAAGAAAAATAATGTTGATAAGCTTATGAATGATAATGGGGATTGGGTGGAAGGTGAGCCTATGAGGGGGATTGTTTTACAGTATTTCCAAGATATTTTTGCCTCGGGAAACCCGGAGAATGGGGAAAATTTCTTTAATAGTATTGCCCTGCGTGTTACTCTGGCACAAAATGAATCTTTAGTCCGGCCGTTCACTAACGATGAGGTCAAAACTGCTCTCTTTTCTATGTATCCTGACAAGGCACCAGGCCCGGATGGAATGAATCCTGGCTTCTATCAACATTTTTGGGATGTGGTAGGGGGGGATATGTCATCCTTTATAGTCAATTGTTTGAATAATTGCAGCTTCCCAGCAACTCTGAATGAAACGGATGTGGTATTGATCCCGAAAAAGCAAAACCCGGAACGAGTATCTGATCTTAGGCCAATTGCGTTGAGTAATGTGATATATAGGGTAATGGCAAAGGTGATGACTAATAGAATGAAACCCTTGATGGATGAGATTATATCGGATTCCCAGAGTGCGTTTATACCCGATAGGCTTATAACGGATAATATCTTGATAGCATCGGAGGTTGGCCATTATTTGCACAGGAAACAGTGTGGTGCTGTTGGATGGGCTGCACTAAAATTAGATATGGCAAAGGCATATGATCGAATGGAGTGGTCGTTCCTACATGGGATGCTTGTGACCATGGGTTTTGATAAAAAATGGGTGGAGTTGATTATGTTATGTGTGTCTACTGTATCGTACAGGTTTTAAATTAATGGCTCTCGTACTGATTCAGTTACACCTACTCGTGGATTGAGGCAGGGGGACCCATTGTCTCCGTATCTATTTATTATCTGTGCAGAGGGACTCTCTATGATGTTGCAACAGGCACAATTGAATAATAGTATTCATGGATGTAGAGTAGCTCGGGGAGCTCCCCCAATATCCCATCTCTTCTTTGCGGATGACAGTTTGTTGTTCTTTAAGGCCAATTTGCAGGAAGCAAGTGTGATAAAAGGATGCCTAACGGCATATGAGAAGTTGTCAGGACAAGCGGTAAACTATCATAAATCCAGTATTTGTTATAGCAAAAATACTACTGAGGAGGACAGAGGCATGGTGGCGCAGGAACTGGGGGTGTTGCAAGCCCCAAATTTTGGCAAATATCTGGGGCTTCCGTCTTTTATTGGTAGAAATCGAAAGGCAGCTTTCTCGTATATTGAGGAAAAGATTAAACAGAGAATTGGTTCATGGAATAAGAAGTTGCTCTCTCAGGCTGGTAAGGAAATATTATTGAAAAGTGTGGCTCAATCTATGCCTACCTTCTCAATGAGTGTTTTTTTACTCCCTATGAATGTTGTTTCTTCTATTGAGAGGACCATGAACAGGTATTGGTGGAACTCAGGCACTAATCAGGGAATACATTGGAAGGCATGGGATAAATTATGCATCCCTAAGAAATATGGAGGTTTGGGTTTTAAGGAACTCAGGGCATTTAATTTGGCAATGTTGGGAAAGCAGGCATGGCGTTTACTCACAAGGCCAGAATCCCTAGTGGCACGTATTTATAAGGCCAGGTATTATCCGAAAGATACTTTCTCAGAGGCACATCTTGGGAATAATCCAAGTTTTTGTTGGCGAAGTATTATGGCAGCAAAAAGCATGGTTTGTACTGGCGTGAGGCGGAGGATAGGGAATGGCAAGGATACGAGAATATGGGATCATCCCTGGCTGCAGGATGAGCAGAATCCAATGATTCAAACAGAAATGCCACCACAACTCGCCGATGCACGAGTTTTTGGATTAATTGACCAAGAGACGGGGACATGGGATACTTCCATTTTAACGGATATTTTTGTGCCAGAAGATGTACCCAGAATTCTGAAAATTCCCATATCACCAGATTATGAAGATACGTGGTATTGGCATGATGACCCAAGAGGATTGTACTCTGTGAAAAGTGGTTATAAGTGTATTGTTGGCAGGTATGATAATACGATTACTCCCTTTAATAGATGGCAAGCGTTATGGAAGCTCAAAATCCCCCCAAAATGGAAAACCTTTCTATGGAGAGCTTTGAGTGACATTCTTCCCACTACTATGAATCTGCGAAACAAGAGAGTTGATATTGAGCCTAGTTGTGCTATGTGTGGAGTGTTATATGAAGATACCATGCATGCCCTGGTCACGTGTGACTATGCCAAGGCTGTATGGGGGCAAGCTAACCTCCCAATCCCTATTACCCAGACGAATATTTTTAATGAATGGTTTAATATGATTTTGGATAATCTGGACACTGATGGTCTGGTGTATGCAGCTGCAATCTTATACCATATTTGGAGAGCAAGAAACAATGCCGTTTGGGACGCCTATATGCCGATGCCGAAGAAGACGCTAAGGACGGCCACCATCACGATGAAGGCATGGTGCGCCGTGCACCGTGGAACCGAAAGCAGCCCTGCACCGCCGCACACCAATACAGTCACGGCCACGCCAGGGCAACACACTCGCAGGTGTTATGTGGATGCGAGTTATCACCATGCCACGAATACGGCCTCGGTAGGTGCAGTTCTTTTGAATGGAAACGGACAATATATCTCTGCCTATGTCTCTTCACTTCCAAATTGTTTCTCGTCTCTTATGGCGGAAGCATTGGCATGCAAGGAAGCTTTGTCTTGGCTAAAGAATCGTGGAGAGGAAAGCTTGGAATTACTCACGGACTGTTTAACGGTCAAACAATACCTAACTACTTCAGCTAGTACCGATCGATCATATGTTGGCTACGCAATAGATGGTTGCAGGAATTTAATTAATTCTTTACTTTCTTGTTTAGTTGTTTTTATTCCTAGATCAGAAAACTATTTAGCACATGCTTTAGCTACTTCAGTTGTTAGTCAAACTTCAGCTATGTACTGGGATGCGAACCCACCAGCACAAATCTCGCATTATTTTGAATAAATTGCCACCTTGGCTCCTTTCAAAAAAAAAAACAATATGATTAAATTGAAAATACGGAGTATATATAAAAGTTTTAGATTTTATATATTTTGAATTATTATATAAATATAAGTTAATAGTATAAATTAGTGGGCAAAATAATCTTTTGAACAAAATAAATGCAATCTACCAAACCAAAAAGTTATTATTTTTAAAATTTTGAATTTCAACGTTTTGGCCATAGTATGCTTTGAGTAATGTTACATATATACCTCTCCTTTATTTATTTATTTATTTTTTTAAATTAATGATGTGATCAGTCAATTCTTGAACATTCCACGAATGAATGCACATTAGGATGGGAAATTGAAGAAGGATAAGAAGTATTTTCATACCAAGATTATATGGTCTAATGGTATCCGAATTAGACTTTCATTTAGAAGGTTGTGAGTTCGGCTCTCATTGTTAGAGCCAATAACATTCAAAAAAAGAAGTATTTTCATGCTATTTATTAAATGCTAATATAGCATAAGATGAGATCAATTAGCCAAAAGGCATATCTTCCATTTACATAAACTAACTATAATTTCTCCCTAAATTATAATATCATTTTAATGTAAGTCTATAATAATCTACTTATTCATTTTAATTTTTAACCCCCTAAACTTATAGTGTGTTTAATTTGAGAGAGCGATTAGAGTAGGTAGTTCAAGTAGTCCATCATTAATTCCAATCGCTCCCTCCGAAGGGAAATTGTTAGGAAATATTTCAATTGGGGTGCTTCACCGCTTCAACAGTAACGTAAGGTACGTACAGTTTCAAGGAATTTTAATTAAAAAGTTACCTGTCAAGTTCATCCCTAAAAGATAAAGCTCCTGAAGAGATGATATGTTGCAGATTTGAGTAGGGAATCTTCCAGAGAGTTGATTCTTAGACAAGGCTAGCACTTTAAGTCTCCTGCAAGTAGATAGAGCTTGAGGGATCTCTCCATGAATATGGTTTGTATCAATGTCCAGAAACTCCAAGTCCGGAAGGAGATAACAGGGGTCATTAGGAAGAATTCCAGAGATTTCATTCATCTTCATGTCAAGTACTACCAAGGATGAAATATTGAAAATTGTCAAAGGAAAATCTCCTGTATTGAAAGACAATATAAGTAGTAGCTTTTTAATTTATTTTATTAATTGATCCAAGAATAGATATATAGTCAAATCATGAAAGGCATGCATTATTCGTATGTTACAATATATTACTATCAAAATTGGTATCCATATATGCATTTATGCCACTAAATTTAGACCAAAAACAACAGAATGACTGAAAATCTTACCTGTCAAATTGTTACCATTTAGCAGTAACCACTCGAGCTTGGAAAAGTTGCCAATTTCAGGTGGTATGCTTCCATGGAATTCATTCTCTCCTAAACTCAAAACTCTTAGTTCCGCACATTTGTATATACTTGATGGAATCTGACCACTCAATCGATTTGATCTAAGAGACAAGCCTTGTAGCTGCCTGCAGTTATCACAAATGCCTCCTGGGAGCATCCCTGAGAGACTATTGTATTCCATGACTACAAATCGCAAAGAAGAAATGTTGTATATAGTTGCGGGGATGTTTCCAGTGAGATCGTTGTAGGACAGGTCCAAACTCTGGAGTTTGGTCAAGAATCCAATGCTTTTTGGGATATGGCCATGGAAACTATTGCTGCTGATGTTGAAAGTTTTAAGGAATGAGAGGCCACCAATCTCCTCAGGAATGGTGCCGTTGAGACCCATATTGAAGAGATTCAATTGGGTCACTCTTTGGTGCCTACCGCTACAAGTGACACCAATCCAATCGCAGTATGGAGTATGATGAGACCAGTTGTTGGAGAAGATGCGAAAGGGATCAGACGTAATTGCCGCTTTCAATGTCAATAGAGCAACCTCATCAGCTGAGCTATTTGATGCTCCTGAGGCCACAGCCATGCAGAGGGCAATGGCCAAAACCAAACACCGAGTCATTGATGCCAAGTGCTCTTTGAAGAAGCTCATAGTATATGCAAATTAAAGTAAGGATTTTTTTTTTTTTTCTTTTAGTGAATTAGTGGAAGTTGAAAGATTCACTCATGTCTGAAGACCCAAAGTTATGATATGCCTAAATTAATGAAGTGGTAATACCATGCATTGACTTATTGAGGGCTATGCGTTTACTTTGGCGTTGATTTTTTTTTTTTTTTTTTTTTTTTTTGGCGGTCTTAATGGTTTAGAAAATAGGAGGCGGCTGAGAGCTTGGACGAAACATGCAATTGAAAGCTTCAACCACATTGGCAAATTGTAATAATTTCAACCATTTAAGATCGTAACATTGATTTCTCTTTGGTCATCTTATTAGGGGGGATTTCTCTTTGGTCATCTTATTAGGGGGGAAATCACTGCTTTGATCCTTCAATTATTTTATAATTATTAATTTAGTTCTTAACTTTTAATTTGAAAGAAATTATCCTTCAATTATTTTGAATTTCATCAATTAAATTCTATAGTCAGTATTCTGTCATACTATTAGTTACCCTATTTTTAGTGGACATTTTAAAATTTTCTCATTATCAGCTTCAGAGATTTAGATCTAAAAAGATTGTAAAACAATGAGAAGCTATATAATTCATCTTCTTCATACTATACTCTCCACCGGCAATGATTGTCCTGTGGGGCCCCACTTGCGGAATACTATAAAATATCTAATCAAGTAAGTTATGGAGGATGGTTTGATAGTGTTGTTTTAAGGTGGAGATATCAAACTTCCAGAGAGAAATATACGATAAATCGAGCGCGAAAACACCAGAACTGGCGAATTGGTGTTGGATTTCTACCCCTATCCCTGGAGTGATCTCTATTGAATATGTGCATCGGCTTGAACTGGCGGATTGGTGTAACTAACGGCTGACTGAAGGAATAGTAGCTAAGGGATTTAATTGACGAAATTTAAAATAATTGGATGTCAATTCATTCAAATTGAACATTAGAGACTAAATTGATAGTTGCAAAACAATTGAGGGATCAAAATAGTGATTTTTCCACTCATATGCTTTTAAGATAATGAAAGTATGGAGCGAAACACCCAATCATTGATACCAATTCTGCTCTTTGAAGAAGCTCATAGTATATGCAAAGAGTTAATTCCATTTCTGGTCCTAGATTTATATGTGACAATCTATTTATAGTCCTTTTTTTTATTAGAACATCCTTATTTGGTCATAATATTATTGTGGGGTGACTATTTTTAGTCCTCCATCAACAAAATCTTTGAAATATCGTTAAATATAAAAGCATTTCAATTTTTTTTTATAAAAAGTAAGTTGAACCCCTATATTTTTTATGTTTATTTTTTTGAAAACATCCTTAATTGAAGACCAAAATGTCATTATATTTAACGATATTTGAATTGTTTTGTTGATAAATGACAAAAAATGGTTATGCCACTATAATACTAGAACTAAAAGTTCAAATAAAAAAGACTTAAAAATAGACTGTCACTTATAAATGTAGAACCAAAAAATAAAATTAAATCTATAGGCAAACTACGAATTTTTTTTTTTTAAATTTTTTTTAGTGAATTACGGGAAGTTGCAAGATTCTCTCATGGAAAGCTATGCGTTGATTTTGGTGTTGATTCTTTTTTTTTTTTTTTTTTTTTTTTTTTTCCTTTTGCGGTCTTAATGGTTTGGAAAATAGGAGGGCGGCTGAGAGCTTGGACAAAACAATTTAAATTAGGCTTCCACCGCATCGGCCAATTGTAATAATTTCAACCGTTTATGATACGTAATAACGTTGATTTCTCTTTGGTCATCTTATATAGAGAAAATCATTACTTTGGTTTCTCAATTATTTTGTAATTGTCAATTTAGTTCTTAATTTTTTTTTTATTACAAAGGAAGGGGAATACCCGTATACTGTCTACGCTTACACTGAGGCTCGAATCCAAGACATCGGATACCAGTGGACCACAAGCCACTTGGTTTTAGTTCTTAATTTTTAATTTGAACGAAATAACTCTCCAATTGTTTTTGTCAACTAAAATTAGGGTAACTAACAATTGACTAGAGGAATAATAGTCAAGGGATTTAATTGATGAAATTTAAACAATTCGAGGTCAATTCGTTTAAATTGAAAATTAAAGAATAAATTGACGGTTGTTAAACAATTGATGAATCAAAACAATGATTTTCCCTCTTATATATGCCTAGGGATGGTGCCGTCCAGACCCATATTTAAGAGATTCAATTGGGTCACTCTTTGGTGCTTGACATTGCAGATAACACCAATCCAGTCACATTATGGAGTTGATGAGACCAGTTGCTAGACAAGATGCCAAAGGGGTCCAATGTTATATATAGTGGCTTTGAATGCCAATGGAGTAGCCTCATTAGCCCCACCCTGAATTCCACAACCAAAACCACATACCTTTCCTTTGAAACCAAGTGCTCTGTTAACAAGTTTATCATACATGCAAGCTAAAGGAAATGTTTTTTTTTTTTTGAATGAATTAGTTAGAGTTGCAAGATTGACTCATATCTGAGGACCCAAGGATACTCCTGCATTAATAAATTGAAAATGTCCGGGGTTTAACTTAATGACTCAGGACCATCTGGAAAGTCTTGTTCCAACAATTGAGTGACTGTGAGAGATCCAAAACCCAAAAAAATGTAGGGTCACTAAGACATTCAAAGTCCAAAAAATTGTTCAGAAGTGATGATGACTCATTATGTGCATAGGTATAGTAATTCGCGATTTACCTCCTCTAAATTTTTAAGTAAAAGTTTTTGAGACTTAAGATTAGTCTAGTATAAACTAGAAACCTAAAGTATAAATAAAAAAAGTGCAAATACGGTTGACTTATGCATTGAGATTCTGTTGCCATCTTAAATGGTTAAGAAAATGAGAGTTTACATTCAAAAAGAAAATGAGAGTTTGAAATGTAAAAACATGACCTTCCACTAATCTTAATTATATGCTTAAAAAATGAAAGCTTTCACCTTGTTGCCACCACGCACGAGCATTACCAATAAAGTTTTACGTTTGGCTGGCGGTGAAGAAATAAAATTACGTTTCATATTTATTTCAAAATTACGCCATTATTAGGACTACTTTATCTTTATGAAGCAAAATGTATTAAAGATATCTTGACTGATTTGGTGATCCAACAAATGAGCTCCTGGAGTGATACAGATATCATGCCTGATTTGGTAGTCCAACCAATAAGCTCTAGGAGTGATCTGAAAGTAAAACTGTATTGTAGATATCATGATTGGTTTGGTGATCCAATAAAATGAACTTCTAGTGGTTTGATGGTCCAACAAATGAGCTCTTGGAATGATATGAGCTCACATTTGGAGTTTGTCAAGATGCACAATGCATGTATGTTCATTCTTAGCCACAGAAGAATCAATATGATGCACCAACAATAACAATTTGGTCTTTGGTTGACCCTTTCCACTTGATAAAAAACCTGGCTGGTTAAACGCAATGGAATTCGTCGAGTACTGCTTAAAATCGCATAGAACATGAAAGAATTTGAAACACCACAAACAATGCAAGAAGGAATAAGGAAAGCTACCTTCTGCATCAATAGCAATGCCTCTCTATAGCCATCTCAACTAAACTAGACCTCATCTTTAATATATTCCATTTTAGTGGTATTATGAAGTAGTCACTTAATCATGAGATTGCAAAAAAATGAATAAATAAATAAAAATAGCACCACATATAAGGACAAGTGCGCAATTGGTTCTTATTACTTTTTGAGGGGACATTAACAGAATTCCCTGAAATCATAATACAATATCCAAGTAATGAGCAACATTTCAAAGCATGCAAATTAAACTAAACTTATAGAGACATTTTGGTTGAACTTTTGTTGTGTATACTTGAGTCTTACTATAGCATCTTCCATGGTGATCCTCTCCGCTGGAAAATCATATGTGCATTCCATAGCTAATCTCATCACCATCAAGAAGCACTCCTCTATTTCTTGCCCTCCACCTTCTTCTCCTGTCACTAAATTGGAGTCAACAATCTCCATTATTGCATCAGGCAATGAATCAGACACCCATTTCCTCATGGTGAAGTCTCCATGGAACATCTCATCTGTGGGCTTCTTTCTCGTGAATACTTCCATTAGTAGAATCCCAAAACTGTATACATCTCCCATGCTGGATACTATTCCTGCACAACCATACTCTGCAATTGTGCAAAAAATATGAATATACAATTACTTCCATATATCCTAAACTTCAAGCTAAGCTACAAATTTAATTAGAAAGCTGAGTGAGTTCACCTGGAGCCATGTATCCAACTGTGCCCATGGTTTTTGTCTGCTTAGTGGCCTTATCTTTGTCCAGTAGCTTAGCTATACCAAAGTCACCAACATGTGCAACCATGTTTTCATCTAAAAGAATGTTGCCAGGCTTCAAATCACAATGAACCACCAGAAAAGAATGACCATGATGCAAGTACTCAAGAGCATTCCCAACATCCATCATTATTCCTAGCCTCTGATAGATATCTAGGAAATAATTATATGAATAGAGCCATTTGTCGAGGCTCCCATTGGGCATATACTCTAAAATCAGAGCTTTGAAGTCGAGGTTGGAGCAACTGGTTATTACTTTGACAAGATTTCTGTGTCGAATATTCCTTAGCACTTGGCACTCTACTTCAAAGCTTCTGATTGAATCGTGCACATCCAAATTGAAGACTTTTATAGCAGCAATCACCCCATCAACAAAAGTGCCCTTGAACACTGAGCTAAAACTCCCCCTGCCTATCAAGTTGCTCTCATCAAAACCTTCTGTAGCACGAAGAATTTCATAGTATGAAATCCTCTTGAGTGCAACATCAAGTGAATCTTCAGTCCGAGGTTCCCTTCGTTTGTTTCTCTTCCAGAAAGTAAGCAACCAAACCAGTAGAACAGCAACAACAAACACAGATACAAGAGATGACAAAACATACTTGAGAAATATGGCAATGTTTCTCGGTTTTCCTTTACCTTCTTTGCATTCCATGACATGGAATCGAGAAGGTCCACATAGTTCCTTGTTACCCATGAATGACTCCATGCTAAAATTTTTGAAAGGTCCACTATTTGGAATTCTACCGCTGAGATAATTGAAAGACATATTCAGATACACTAGATATTTGAGCTTTTCCATCGACTTTGGAATACCACCAGAGAGGCTATTATTAGATAAATCTAATGCTTGCAAGCTTATCAAACTATCAAATGATTTAGGAATACGACCATGAAGCCTATTTGATGATAGAGAGAGATTAAGCAAATTCTGAAGTTGCCCAATGGTGTCAGGAATTTCTCCAGAAAATTGGTTACCTGAAAGATTGAGGTATATCATGGTGTGCATACTTCCAATTTCATAAGACAAGGTACCACTAAGTAAACTGGAGGACATGTCCAGCTCTAAGACATCCTTGTTATTCCAGAAGCCAAGCGGAATAGTAGATGTAAATAAATTGGAACCTAGATATATTTTTCTCAAAGAGGATATATTTCCAAAACAGCTTGGTATGCTCCCTGAGAGCTTATTGTCTTCAAGATGCAATTCATATAAGTCCTTCAGATAGCATAAAGTGTTTGGTATTGATCCTTCAATTTTATTGTTATATACGAATAAACCCTGTAACCTCAGCAAATGTCCCAATGTTCCAGGAAGCGAACCTGAGAGGTTATTTTGGGACAAGTCCAAATAAATCAAGTTGATATAGTTACTAATTCCACTTGGAATACTGCCTTTCAAGTGACAATCAGCTGCATACAAGATTTTCAACGACGACGACTTATTGCCAACATCTAATGAGCTGGGAAGAACTGTGTTGAATGGATTGCCGGCCAAAATAACCCTTTTCAAATTCTTGCATTTCGACAATGAAGTGAGTAGGCTCAGCTCATTGGCCGATGGATCATTTGTGATATGGTTTCCTTCTATGTTAAAATATCGAAGTTGGTGTAAATTTTCAAACACCAAAGGTACATGGCCACTGAACATGTTATTCCCAAGATCAAGCGTTATGAGTTGGGAGGCATTTGATATAGTGCTAGGAATGGTTCCACTGAATTGGTTTTCAGCGAAAAGAAGTCCTTCAAGACTTGGTGAAATCCAATGTCTTAAGCCTGGTTGAAGATTGCCAAAAAACTTATTTGTTGACAGATCAATCACTTGTAATCCAGAGATGTTGAAAATGGAGGATGGTACTTCACCACTAAAATTATTTGTACCAAGTATCAATCCTTTAAGACTTGATAGCTTTCCTAGCTCTGGGGGAATATTACCATCCAAATTGTTTTCACTAGCAAAAAATTTCTCCAAAGTCGATATATTGCCAATTGAAGAGGGTATTGTACCAGTCAATCGATTTGCAAAAACTCTAAACGTTCGAAGGTTTGACAACTTCCCAATCTCTTTTGGTAAGTATCCTGTAAGTTATGTAAAAGTTTAGGAACCAATCCAAACTTTGAGTCTCTTTAGAGTAGCTCTGTTAGTTTCAACTCACAAATAAAGCAAATTAAAAATGAGTTGCATAAAATTAATCTCTTATTTTAAGTCTTATATTTTTATATTCATAATCAGATATGTTGTTACATTAATATTATTTTAACAGTAATTTTTATAATAATCATTAACTTATTCCAACCCACCGAACTTAAGATGCATTTGCGAGCTGAGAGTGGTTGGAGAGGTACGCAACAAGCATTATAGTGTAGGCCGTGGTTCAACTTACAAGATAAATCACTAATATAACATTCATTTTTAATATATTAAAGGTTCATTTTTATTTTTATTTTTTTTCAGTTCATTTGTTGTGTATTAAAAATTTATTTTTAAGTATACTATCTAAAATTAAACTTTTTGTACATTAAAATGATTATTTATCAGTAGTCCACCTCATAATTTGCTCTGATCCAACCATTCTCATTACACATTTATGAAAAAGAATATCTTTCTATCATCAATGTTGTTGAAAGGTGGAGATCCTACCTGGTTGGAAGACATTTCATCATAATGACTGATCACTACAGTCTGAAATTCCTTCTAGAACAGAAAATAACTACTGCTATTCAGAAAAAGAAGCTGGCTAAGCTACTTGGGATACATTATATAATACAATATAAAAAGGGGATTGACAATGGTGCTGCAGATGCCTTCACTAGGAGAATGACAAACCATGAGCCTGAGATGAATGATATCCTTAGTATCAAGCCCCAATGGATGGAGGAAGTGGCTGCAAGCTATGAAGGGGATATATGGGCTCAAGACAAACTAACTTCAGCCCTTATTACACCAGATGGGAATCCTAATGTAGGTGTCAAGGAAGGGTTAATCATATAAGCAAAGACTCTACATTGGGAACAAGGGCAAACTGAGAAATCAGCTGATGACTCAGATGCACAGCTCACCCTTGGGTGGTCACTCAGGGCAGAAAAGTACATATCACATATTGAAATCCCTATTTTACTGGGAAAAAATGAAGAAGGCAATAGAAGAGATGGTGAGGTAGTGTGATGTGTGTCAGAGGTGTATGGCAAAAAATGTGGCAACACCTGGGCTGCTCCAACCATTGACTATCCCTGATCAGGCATGGAAAGGAATTTCAATGGATTTCATAGAAGGGTTGCCCAAGTCCCAAAGTAAGGAAAGTCATTTTAGTAGTGGTGGACATGTTCACCAAGTATAGCCACTTCATTTCTCTCTCACACCCCTACTCAGCTGAAAGTGTGGCTTCAGAATTCATGGAGAACATCTACAAACTCCATGGATTGCCTGAGAGTATTGTGACTGATATAGGGACAAAGTGTTCCTCAGTCATTTTTGGCAAGCTATTTTCAAACAAATGAGAGTCCAACTATGTATGTCTACTGCTTACCATCCCCAATCAGATGGACAGACAGAGAGGGTAAACAAATGTGTGGAGACATACTTGAGGTGCATGGTATTCAACAGACCTAAATCCTGGACCAAATGGTTGCATTTGGCTGAATTTTGGTACAACACTAACTTCCATTCATCCCTACAGTGTACTCCCTTTCAGGAACTTTATGGTTACAAGTCTCCTATGTTGGCTTTGGGAGATGGCCACAGAACTGAGGGGAATGGATGGATAGCTAACAGAAAAACACTGATAGCAGTCTTGAGGAACAATTTGCAAACAGTCCAAAATAGAATGAAACAGCAAGCAGACAAGAAGAGAAGTGAAAGAGCATTCCAAGTTGGAGATTGGGTTTATTTGAAGGTGCAACCCTATAGGCAAGTGACTATGGCTGTAAGTAAGAACCAATATCAAGCTGTCATGGACCTTATCAAGTGATAGCAAGGGTAGGTGCAGTGGCTTATCGATTGGCCCTACCCAGGGTTCACAAAGGGCCATATCCCGTCTAGAAGGGGAAGTCTTGGCACACCCCATAGCAGCCTTAAACAAGAGGTTGATTAAAAGGAATAACCAGGCAGTGGTGCAATACTTGTGCAGTGGGAAAATTTGCCTGTGGAAGCAGCCACCTGGGAGGACTATCACCATGTTACTAAATAATTTTCCTCTTTTGATCTTTGGGGACAAGGATCCAGTGGAGGAGGGGGTAATGTAATTGCACCACTCTAACCCACCATTATATTCCCTCCAATATTTCTACCAGAGGCCAAAAGGGCCTAGTTGGGGCGGTTCACTGCCCCTGACCTCACTATTTTATAAAATTCCCTAAATCAAAATTTCATAAAGTTTTTTGAATTTACCTGTCAAGTTCATATCTCCAAGATAGAGATCCCGAAGAGATGACACGTTCCAGATGTCGCTAGGTAATCTTCCAGAGAGTTCATTGTGAGACATGGAAAGTACATGAAGTTTCCTGCAACTGGATAGAGCTTGAGGGATTTCTCCACGAATATGGTTTCTCCCAATGGCCAGAATCTCCAATTGTGGAAGGAGATAACAGAGGTCATTTGGAAGAGTTCCAGAGAGTTCATTCCTCTCAAAGTCAAGTGCTATTAAAGATGAAATATTGAAGATTGTCCAAGGCAAATCTCCTGAATGTATTAAAAGACATGAAGTATATATAAGTACGTACACATGGACATATTACATTCTTCTATATATTAGTATTATGTAAATTGGTAGCCATGCATATATGTCACTAAAACTAGACCAAAAACAAAAAACTCACCTGTCAAGTTGTTGCCATATAGATATAACATCTCGAGCTTGGAAAAGTTGCCAATTTCAGGTGGTATGCTTCCATGAAATTCATTGTCTCCTAAACTCAAAACTCTTAGTTCGGTACATTTGTGGAGACTTGATGGAATCTGACCACTCAATTGATTTGATCTGAGAGACAAGCTTTGTAGCTGCCTGTAGTTATCACAAATGCCCGCCGGAATAATCCCAGAGAGACTATTGTATTTCATGGCTACAAATTGCAAGGAAGAAATGTTGTATATAGTTGGGGGGATGTTTCCAGTGAGATTGTTGTAGGACAGATCCAAACTCTGGAGTTTGGTCAAGAATCCAATGCTTTCTGGGATTTGGCCATGGAAACTATTGGTGCTGATGTTGAAAGTTGCAAGGAATGAGAGGCCACCAATCTCCTCAGGAATGGTGCCGTTGAGACCCATATTGAAGAGATTCAATTGGGTCACTCTTTGGTGCTTAGCATTGCAAGTAACGCCAATCCAATCACAGTGTGGAGTTTGGAGAGACCAATTGTTGGACAAGATTTGAAAAGGGTCGGATGTGATTGCTCCTTTCAATGCCAATAGAGCAGTCTCATCAGATGTTGATACCGTGGAGGCCACAGCCTGATGAGTTCCCATGGAAAGGGATTGCACTAAAACAACCAAAACCAAAAACTGTTGCATTGATACTAACAAACTCATCATATTTGCATGCATGCAACCTACCCAATTACTTCTACTCAACTAAATGCTCAAGTTTTTTCTCTTTATAAGTGAGAGGCCATGAAATAAGATTTAACTTTTTAACTCCCATGCTTTTTGCCTGTGCAGTCCGGCTGGTTTGGTTTCTCACGTTTCAGGGCTGGTTTCTCACCTGAAACTCTGTGAGAAACACAAAAAATGGTTGCAACCATGTCTCTTTCTTCAAAATAAAATTTCAACTACGGTGGTTATAATTTTGGCTACTTAGTGTAATACTGGGAAGTGGGAAATTTTGACTGGTTAACTTTTATATTTGTGTGTCCCATGAGAACACACCCACAAGGTTTGAACTGGTTGACTTTTGACTTATATCTTTGGTTGAACCATGGGTGGCCTTGTAGAGCCACGTGGGTTGGGCTAGATTCAATTTTGAAAGCAAGATGGAATTGGGGATGGCCAATTGTTATATCGTGCACCAAGGCGCACAATGCATTGAGCGTCTTAAAAATTCTCTGTTTCGTATATATATAATTGTAGAGTAAAATACACATAAACTCCTAATATAATACACATAATCTTAACATAATATATAATAGATAATACATATAAACTCTTAACATAATATTCATAAACTCTTAACATAATATACTTAATTTTAACATAATACATAATACATATAAACTCTTAACATAATATACATAAAGTCTTATGGTGCACACTGCATTGTGCACCCTGGTGCACGACATAATTTGTCTGGGATGACTTATTTTCAAAGAATAATTCGGTTTTGGATCGAGATACATTAATCTGCGTTGAAGGAGTTTGCTTATTGGTCTCAATTAATTTTTGGATCCAACATATAAGTGGGGTTCACCGGGAATGTGTTTAATGTGGGACAGACACGCTACTGACACGGCGTATTTAAGAACTTATAAGTTATTGAAATAAGGGTCAAATAAACCATCGAATTGCACATCAAAATGCAATTAGCTCATCGAACTAAAAAATAATTCAATTAGATTTTTAAACTACACAAAATCATGCAATTAGGTCTAAAATGACCTGTTAACCTTAAATTGTGCTGACGTGGCGGTTATCAATTTAAAAAATTAATTTTAAATAAAATAATTAATTAAAAAAAAAAAAAAAAAAAAAAAAAAAAAAAAAAAACTAGAACTGCCGGAGACGAAGTGGAGACGAAGGTCCCTTCGTCTCCATGGCCGGAGACGAAGGGATGGTCTCCGGCCATGGAGACGAAGGGATGGTCTCCGGCCATGGAGACGAAGCTTTGTCTCCTGGCAATGGAGACGAAGACTGCCGGAGACGATTCGTCTCCGGCAGTTTTAGTTTTTTTTTTTTAATTATATAATTTTAATTATTTATTTTATTTTAAAATATATTTACACATTATTTTTAAAATTGGTAACCTGCATTTCAGGTAACAAGTCATTTTGGACCTAATTGTATGATTTTATGTGGTTCAGGGACCCAATTGCATTATTATTGAGTTCGATTGCCTAATTGTACTTTGGTGTGCAATTCAGTAACCTATTTGACCCTTATTCCTAACTTATTTTAAGTTGTTAATAAGTTATAAGCTCTGTTTGTTAATATTTCCAAAATAAGTTATAAGTTCTGTTTGAACAAAACTCAATATTTCAATTATGATTTTGCATTATTGAAATGGTTTAGGTCATTATAGTATTAATATTTTTTGTATGTATTTCTATAATAGTACAATTGTACATTACTTTATAAATATTGAACTATTGTTTTTTATCGGATAAAATTGTTCTTACATTATTGTCAAGCATGTGTGACCTAACTACAAAGTTGTTGATCATAAATACAACTACACCAAGACTCTAAAACTACAATTTTCCAAAAAAATTTGACAATGTTGACATCTCACCGACTCCAATTGAATAAGTTTACATATCATTCTCAGAATTTTATCAAAGCATGAAAATTTTTGAAGAAATTTGCAAGTTAATTTTACTACTCCCTCCGTCTCATTTTATGTGTCGGGTTTGGTTAACAAGGCTTGACTGATGCTATTTATAATTTTTTTTTAAAAAAAAAAAAGTTAACGAGGCTTTTTTTTTTAAGTTATTTATAATTTAAATTTTATAATTGTCATTGATAAACTCCCAAAATAATTTGTCTCAACAAGAATGGAAATAAAAAAAAAAATCAATGACTTCATTGTTGTGGATGAAAAGTAAGTACCCCATTTTATTACTCTTATTAAATTATAAATAAATGAGTAGCTACAACAAAAAATAATACATATGCATTTAACTAATTTAGAATTAGATGTTTATAATGCTTTTATTCAAAAAAAAATTATTCATTATAAAAAATTTTAAATATATATATATATATATATATATATATATATATATATATATATATATATATATATATATTTTATTAGTTATATTATCTTTGTTTTCTTCAATTCAAAGATTTCTTACCTTCAAATTCATTAATTAATTATATTCACTACATTACAAAGTTGCAAACATTTATTTTAGTGTCAATTATAATATATCTCTCATATATTATCTTGCTTTTATACACTTTGAATTACTGATTTAAATAAACAAATTCAACATTGAATACCTATGCATCAACACTTTTTATATAATCTTGAATTGATAGAAGTACTTATTTAAAAATAATCATCACAATGTGCGTGAAAGACTAATAATAATTATACACATCAACCAATCTATCACTTGACTAATCCCCATCACTTGTAGGAATCAAATCCGGATTATTCCAGAATTTTCTCCACAAAAAAAAAAAAAAAAAAAAAAAAAAAAAAAAAAAAAAAATCATTTGTCACTTGAGCTACCCTATTGGGTTTAATGACCCTAATTTATCAAGTGATATAAACTTCTCCCAAGTCCCAACTCTATAGAAAATATATCAAATTAGTCGGTATTATTAGTAGACAGGCATTGTGTTGGGCATTGTAGTTGGCATGAATGGCGGCAATCATAGTACACAAATTGGCTTTCATGCATGCCTCTTGCCATGGAAAAAATTGACTTCCATTCCCACGACACCTAACTATTTCTTTACATATCTAATAATCCAATCAATACCAACAAAGATGGCTCAACTTTTCTTATACTTACTTTCCATTAATTTATGCTCTCCCCCCATAAAGTCACAAAGCCAGCTCTAAAGACTATAACCCTATGTTCAAAAGCCCTCCTACCCCACCAGGTTTAATAATATTACACACTGGTCAAGATTCCTACTATCAAAGATTCATATATATAATATTTATCAAAACTTCTACGTGTTGTGTTAGCATTAGCAAAAATCAAACTCATGAGTATCTAAGTATGAAAATCACGTTTTACCTATTCGATCACTCATTTCAAGACATATTGTACTCAGTGTTGCAAAAATCTCGTCTAGCTCTGCTGAACCTATATGCATGCAAAAATACTCTTGGGAGAGCTGGTTTGATTGGGGCAGACCGAAATTCAATTGAATTAGTCTCACTTTGCATGGTGTAGATACTAATGATGCTCGAGCTTTTGTTCATCTGTCTTCTTACCCTACAAAGGGTGCATTGGCCTAGCCAATTATTTACCCCCTTTTAGCTAGCTATGGACCATATATACTCATAATGTACACATACAGACAGCATACCCAACAGAACATCCAAAATGACAACATATGACATTGTTTTATTCCCAGTAGTATAGTCTCCATCAACATGATTTGAGTGGCCATTGTTTTTCACATTCTGTCCTTGCAGTTGCAAGGATATATATGTATACAAAAAAAACATCATGTTATCAAAACTTAAAGAATAGTTACAAAAGCTGTAAATTCTTTGACAACTGTTTAAGCGGTTCACATGTGTGATCTCATGAAGTCGGTATGTCAGTTAATATTTTGGAGCTATGAATGTCAATAAGTAGAAAAAACAAACTAGAAATATTGAACGAACAAACAAGATAGGTCGGGAAAGGCCTGCGATAAGAACAAGAGTGTTACTGTTACACAGCCTCCTTTTACTTATCCACATATAGAAACAGTAAAAAATAAACTCTTACCAACTGATTTAAACGAAGATTTACCTCCAAAATTAAAACACCCTTCCTCTCGACAAGGAAAACGGGATAAGGTTAAAGGGCACTGCTGGCGGGCAGTCTTTCGAGTGCTTCCATGACGTGCCTCATCGAAGGTCTCTTTTCAAGATTTGTGTGCACACACGCCATTGAAATCTTCAGAACGGCAATCATTTCATCTTCTTTATCAGCATCTTCAGCTAGATATGGGTCCAAAACATCTGAAAGTGGCTTCTTTTCGTCAATGCAAAGGTGAATCCAGTTAACAAGGTCCATTTCCGAGGATCCCAACTGTACTACCGGTGATCTTCCAGTAAGCATTTCCAATAAGATTACTCCATAGGAGTACACATCCCACTTCTGCGATGGCTTCATTACCTTAAACGCCTCTGGAGCTTGGTAAGGGGATCCTAAAGCTCCGGTTGAAACAATTGTTGACGTTTCTGATGGCCCGCTGCCTGGTAGTCGTTGTTTCTCAGAGGCCATTCGAGTGGACAGCAGAGTTGGGGAGCCTCCAGCTATGTTAGCAAGACGCCCAAGTCCAAAATCGGAGATTTTAGGTTCCATATCATGTCCAAGCAATATATTTGATGGTTTCAAATCACCGTGGACATATTTTTTAGGGCTATACTCGTGCAAATAAACCATTCCTTTAGCAGTTCCCTTCATAATGCTCAATCGCACAGACCATGAAAGAGGCATAAAGGACACCATTCCGGGTTTTCCTAAAGCCATTAATAGAAACAAGATAACAAATTATCATTAACACAATATATAAATTGAAAACTTATGGAACATTGGAAATAACTACGGACTTGTAGGTGTGAAAATTACCATGAATTGCTGTGGAAAGGTTTCCGTTTGGAACAAAGTCGTATATCAATAGCTTCTCATCCACTGACCAATAATAGGCTCTAAGAGTTACAACATTAGGATGCCTTAGCTTCCCAATTGCTTCGACTTCTGTTTGAAACTCTTTCAATCTTTGCGATCCACCTTCCCCGAGTCTTCTCACAGCCAAGTTAAGCCCATCTTCAAGCACAACTTTATAGACAATTCCAATGCCACTCTTACCGAGCACAAAAGCAGATGCTTTGAGAAGCTGATCTAAATCAAACGCCACTTGGTTGTCCAGTGGGACGAGATCACATTGTTCTACATGTTCTGATAAAGTCTCGGACACCTCCTTCCCAAAGCATAAGCATTTATTTCTTCCATTTCCTCCCTTTCCAAAACCATGCCCGCTCTCATCGTGTCTCGTTCCACAAGGACAGATTCTTGCATAACAATATGAGAACAGCAAGCCAATAAAGCAAATTCCAATCACATCACTCACAATTATTGCAGATATGGCACCTTTACTCAGCCTCCTTTCGTGATCCACTGTGCCTTGTGGAGGATAGTTATTGGGCAAGGGTGGATACAAGGAAGGTGAAATAGCATCACCTCCCGAAGAACACAGATTCTTCAATGGAGGACCGCATAGCCCTGAATTCCCAAGGAATGCAGTTGGTCCTCTATTCATTAGAGCACCATTTTGCGGGATTGGACCACTCAAATTGTTATACGTGAGATCAATATAAACTTTCTCAGGAAGGTTACCAAGACTTGATGGGATCGAACCACTAAATCTATTATGAGACAAATCAATGGTTCCTTCCAAATTAGACAAATTTCCCAAGTCACTAGGAATCAACCCACTGAACTCATTGTGTGAAAGGTCAAGGTTTACCAATGAAGCCAAGCTAGCCCCAAAACCATTCGGCAAAGAACCACTAAAATTATTCACACTCAAATCAAGTTTCTTCAATCTTTTACATTGAATCAGTGTTGCAGGCAAAGACCCATTCAAGAAATTCTGAGAAATATACAAAGTTTGAAGGTAATTAAGCCCCCCAACCTCAGAAGGCAAAGGCCCAGACAAAGAATTCCCATTAAGAACCAAACTTTGCAAACCTAGAGCTCTAAAGAGACCAGGAGGGATGCTTCCATTAAGCCTATTATTCCTTAAATTCAAATGTCTGAGCTCAGAGAGTGAGCCAAGGGAAGAAGAAAGAACCCCAGATAGGCTCTTCTTGGGAATGGTCACAGAGACAACTCTCTGGTCCTTGCAAGTAATACCATTCCATGAACATGGGGTTTCATCAGAGTAATTCCAGTTATTCAGTGACCCTTCTGGGTCTTCTAAAACAGATTGCTTGAAAGACAAAAGGGCTTTTGCTTCGTCATTCAAAGAACTCACCAGAGCTTGCGAATTGCAGAAAATCAATATGAACAATGCCAAAGCTAACATTTTTTTCCTTTCTTCCAAGAAAATGTGGGTGAAAAAAAAAGAAAAGTTGGGTGTCAAAGAGCTTACCTTTGTGCAACTGAAAACCAAGTTGAGGCAGAGAAAGTTTAGAGAGAGAAACAATGGAGGTCAGGAGAGCGAGTAAAAAAGCAAGCTTTGACAGTGAAGTAGTGAGAGAAGAAAAAGGGTGTCTTGGAGAATGAGAAAGAATGCAGCGGGGCATTTGGGCAATAGACTAGACATTAACACCATTTGTTTCTTTTCACCTTTACTTTGTTTTCTTTTTCTATTGTTTTGTTTTGTTTTGTTCTTTTTCCAGGAGAATAAATACAAGACAAAATGTTTAGGAAGAAAAAAATCCATAAAAAAGAAGGTTGCTAAGAGAATCCTAGAAAGCCAAATTTGCAACTATTCTTGTAATTTTATATTATTTTAAACTCGAATGTATCTCAATCTCTATAAATATTACTTTCTTCTCCGTATCATTTTACTTAACCACAAAGTTTCAAATTTGAATCTTTGAAACAACAATCTAATGGTCTTTGACCAGACTATACTACAGTTTTTAAGATCTTTATATATTAACGAAGTGAACATATTTCTATTGGAGTAATAATAATTAATTCAATAAGTGATTGATTAACGAAGTGAACATATTTCTATGAGCAGACCAAACGCTTTGACTGCGCTTCATCCCACCACCTGCGACTTTGACCAGACTACAGTTTTTAAGATCTTTATATATATATATATATATATATATATATATATATATATATTAGTTTTACACTCATATTATGCGAATGTGTTAACGTCCAATTTTTATATTTAAAAAAATATTTAAAAGTATATCAATATAAAATTATATACGAAAAGTTCATACATAAGTAATTAAATGTCGAATTTATTTATTTAAATATATAACTTAAAATATATGAATACAAGATAATATAGAAAATTCATTATTATTATTATTATTATTATTATTATTATTATTATTATTATAATATATATATATAGGTATAAAGTTTTATAAATATTAACTCAATAGAGTAGTTTTAGTGACAAATGAGCTCTTTTTGTGGGGGAGAATTATGGGATAATCCGGGTTCGATTTTCACAAGTGACGATTTCCTCTGAGCCAACTTCTGTGCCGAGAGCGAATCGGGTGGACCCGGACCACATTGTGATTTACATAAAAAAAAAAAAAAGTTTTATAAATATTATAAAATTTTGTTTATTTTCAAACGTTAAATCTACTAGATCAATGGTTTGAATTTGATCATATATAAGTTCTTACATATATATAAGCTCTTATCTGGAATTATATATATATATGTGTGTGTGCGTGTGCGCGCGCGCGTGCTTCTCCAATCTTTTAAAACTTGCTCGTTGCAAATTAAGAAGAGATAGATAAAAAAAAATTATACGTTAAACTCGATTTAGATTCTATACGACTGTAAACTTGAATGAGGGAAAAAACAAATTGCCCAACAATTAATTTTAAAAAGATACTTGTTGAAATAGCACTGCCAAGCATTGAAAAACACTTTCCAGGTGATTGAATGGGTGAAACATTATTTTTATACTACAAAATTATGAATTCAATTATCATCAATAGTACTCTCTCAGTCGAATTTATCCCATAGTCTTTCCCGTCCCTATTACACAGATGCAAGATTTACCTAGTATACATCACTGTATAGTTACGTTACTATAGGTTTTCCTCGTCACAAAAAATAATAATAAATAAAATCAAAACACCCTTGCTTGGAGAAGAAAATATGTATATGCTCACTACTTAATTATAAATAATTAAAGTTAAGATTTTTGGTTTCCAATACTTTTTAAGAAAAATGATATTCCTTTTTTACTAAAATCACTATATAATATTCACTTGTTGAAGTCTTATCAAATACTTTTAATTTTAAGCTTTGTATTTGTCTCATATATACAGAAAGTAAAATTAAAGATGATAGATCCAAGTGTGGGGCAGTAGCGACCCCACGGTACAGTACATGTACTTTATTTAGAGTTTCATATAAATATGATATTTGTAATTCTGGATGTTCTACTATACCATCACTATTATTAATAAAAGAATAACTTTACTTCTGTAGATGTAGACACCTGACCTATCGAACCACGTAAATCTGAGCTATTTTTGTTCTTGTTTATATCTCAACACTAAAAATATAATTCTATCTAAATATAACAAATTAAGTTGATCGACATGCACCTGTCATCCATTAGTTGTTATGTGTTCAACATTTAATTTATATGTGATCAACAAACTTTATAGCATAATAAATTTAAGAACTGTATAAGATTATATTTATAATATATATGATAGCATAAATTAGACTAAGATAGGAGTCTAAAGTTACTACTACGTTGGTATAATTTTCTTAAAGTCGTGAATTATGTTGTGGCGTGATGGAAGGAGGAATAAAGTCTATAAACATTCCGTGTGAGCTGAGGCGCAGCTGACATGAGGGTGTAATTAAGTATATTATTAAACCTTAACTTTTCTCCGGTTTCAATTATCAATGGAGGCGCCAGAGGATTTAAGACTACTCCATACCCAAAGCTAAGGATTGAATACTTGACTTTTGATTGATGATGAATGAGTCACTTCCACTCAACCACATACTCAGATTAAAAGGCAATAACTCAATAAGTTATTATATAAACCGTGCTTAAGTCACTCTTATACAATCAGTGGTTAGTATTTAGGGAATGTATTCAATCATGACTTTTATAGATTTTCAAATCGATAGATTTTAATAAATTTTTATTGACTTTCATAAAGTCGTTCAAATATTTTTAAATAATAATAATAATAATAATAATAATAATAATAATCTATCTATACTACTTATAAAAACAAAATCGCACTTTTAGAACTTTCCGCCAAAATGACCTCATAAGCTATTAATAATATATAATAAAATCTAATAATTATTATGGTAAGTAATAGCTCAATAAATGTGACATCTTTTATATACATATTTTTATACTTAATGTATAATAATAATAGTATAATAGCACAATATTAATATATTTATCTAATAATTATTATGGTAATTAAGGAATTAATTACACAAGTATAATTGACTAATGATTATTATGATAATTAAACTAATAATTACCATAATAATAGTATAATTACAATTAAACATGGGTCATTGAATTTTTTTTAATAATTGTTACAATTAAATTTTTGATAATATATATATATATAAATATATATATATATATATATATATATATATGAAAGTTAATTGCACAATTTTAGTATAATTACCTAATAATTATTATGGTAATTAATGAATTAATTGCACATATATTAGTATAATTGACTAATAAATATTACATTGATTAAGCTAATAATTATATCAATATTAATATAATTACAATTAAATATGGGTCTTTAGATTTTTTTTCCTACTAATTACAATTAATTCATTCAGATATATGAAGGAGGAGGAAAAAAGTAAATGTGATATGGTGGAAGGGAATATATTTAAGATATGAAAAGTATAATTGTATAGATATTAATATAATTGTCTAATAATAATTGTCTAATAATTATTATGGTAATTAAGCTAAACATGTGTCATTGTATTTATTTATTTTTATCCATGTATCGCACGCGCATCACACGTGCACCGCACGGGTAGTTGAGCAATTCTTCGCTCGAATTCAAACAATAATAACATAGAAAACATTATTGTGTTAAAGGATCAAGTCATCGCAACTGGGCATGCACTCAATATTAGTCCTCTCATCTAATGATTAGCTTAATCACAACGATTATCTCTCCACTACTTGTCAAGTTGAGGTGTGGAGGTTACGGAGGCGAGGGTATTTTATTTTGCCTTGTGTGGATAAGTAATAATCACAATTGTGATGAAGATGGGGATTTCTTACTAACCTGATCTCATAATATATATATATATATATGCAAATTGAATGGAACATTAAGTGCTAGTAATCAAGATTGTGGTTAGGGGCAGCAAGCACGGTCTGTGCATATTGAGGACATGCATCAATAAAGTTGGAGACGGGGACCAAATTGAATGCCCAAAATTGTCTTGTTTCGTTTGTTTTTAATATCTAAAGTAATAGAGATTCGAATTCATGACCTTTGACATGATTCTGATATCAAATTAAAGACATAATTCTGATATCAAATTAAAGCATGTGTTACATCTCAACTAAAAGTTTAAACTGATAGTTGAATTGCACATTTATATTTATATATATTATATACTCAACATTTTTAACATCAACCAAGAACAACACATACGTGGTACCACTTTTTTGGTCTTCTGCGTCGAAGCATATGCTACAACTGCAATGGGGGATTGGAACACTTCTTTGATGTTTCTTTTTCTTCAATTTAAAAAAAAAAAAAAAAAAGGGTTTTGTCATCTTTTATCTCTGGGTGTAATATTATAGTTATCAAGCTAATTGTAATCCATTAATGTTGTCAATGCGCCTCCTCGGTGTACTGTGGAGTGTCAACCATAGCCTAATAAAGTTATTGTATCGAAATATCTAGTCCCAACAATTCCTGTGTTGCTAGTGGACTTACTTGTACTTAGTAAAATGATGTTTATATCATTTTCTTTTTTGTATTAAATACAATATACTCAATTAATGATCTCACTTGGAGTGTCATAACTTATTGTCCATTAGTTACTTCTAAATTATTGTACCTCACAACAAATTAATTTGATTATCCGTATAAGATAATACAATATGTCATGTAACAAAGTTGGTAATTAAATTATCAAATGAAAAATTTAGCAAAAAACTTCATTTCATAATAAGGGGTTTTTCCATTCATTTTATGTGTTTTAATAATCTCAATTTTTGGCCCAATAGTTTGGATATCTCATGGTCCAAAAGGAAAAAAATAATGAGATTGATGCCACTACCGTCTAGAGGAAGTTCCTCTGGAAAGACCCAGAAGAAAATCTGGAAGACAAACCCTTTGACATATTTTGGGCGTCAAGTTTGACACTTTGTCTTCTAACTTTCAAATCCTTTTCGCGATCCCAAGGTTTCCATGGATGGTTTCCTTCCCATTCTTCTTGCTTTGCTTTTTTCTTGGACTTGCTCCCACCTTTCTCTTGATGCTTTTCTACCAAAGATTTTGATCGTTTAGCCTTGTTGTACTGATCCACAAGTGCAGCATTATCTGCATTTTCCCTTTTCGTATCCTGTTCTTTAGAAGCATAATTCATTTTGGCTTTCAGTGCTCTATCTGAAGGAGTATCTGTCCAGACACTAGTATCACCCCGCCCCTCCTTGGAACTCTTGCTAAATGTTGTTGAACACATTGGCATGCGGCCAGGTTTTCTTTCTGGAGGGAGGGTTGTCATCCATTCATCTCTTTTTGGTGTTTCTAACAGTATATCATCACCCTCCATGGATATACCTTGCAAACGTCTCCACTGTGCAGCTTCACGCATGGCTTGCAAATCTGCCTTCATTTCCTCCTGCTCCTCCTTGAGCTTTATTTTGTCATCCAATGCTTTTCTCTTATCTGGGTCTTGTAAATCTTTAAACGCTTTGTTGAGTTTAACAAATGCTTGGTGAGCTTGAGGATGAGAACATTTGTCAGGATGCACCATAAGAGACAACTTCCAGTACCTCTTCTTCATGTTTTCACTCGCCATATTTCTGTTCACTCCCAAAACATCATAGCCATTATTGTCTTCCTCAACTCCCATAATTCTAGTGATCTCTTCAAAACGCTCTGCTTCATTTGTGGACTCAGCCTCAGTCGCCACCGCAGGAGGCGGAGGTCCAATAAACTGTTGGCTATCGCTATCTTCCTCCCTCATCTCCTCCTGTGCTTCTGCAAGTAATTCAGCAGATGGCTTCGCAGGTCCAATCATCCTCTTTCTTGGAGCTGAGGTTTCTTCATTAGGTAGACTTAAATTAGCATTATAAGTGTCGCGACGGCGTTTCCTGCTGCGGTTGTGCCGGTGGATTTCCGAGTGGGACGATTCCGATGGAGATTGTGAAGGTGTAGAGGAAGTGGGAGAATCTTCCTCATGTCTGTGCTTCTTCTTTCTATTGGAATGGTCTCCCATGCTATCTCGATCGGAAACTTTGCTGCAGCTTTGTAGTTCGGAAAACGGAACTCCGCAATAGGGGTTGTGGGCGGGGTATTCGATTGATCATTAAATATATGAAATTGGGTATCTTTTCCCACTTCCTTTCTATATAGGAATAGGAAAATACTATATGCAGCTCATCCCAAATAACCAATAATTATTTTTGGAAAAAATAATTTAAATTTGGGATTATCTGCTGGAAACCTGTAAATTGGAAAATTGAATAAAATTGGTTAATTTAGAGATCCAATTATAGATTTTTTTAAGTACAGTGACTTAATTGTATTATTGTATGCGGTTCAATAGCCTATTTGACTCTTATTCTTTCTGTATATAATAGATAGATCGATGTTTGAGTTAAGATATGGCTGATCGAGTAGGGATCTAATCGAACCGCATGCTTGATCCCCCAACCACCACCCACGTACATCTCATTATACATGCCTTTATGATTATTATTGCCTCGCAAGTTTATATTGGGAAGGGTTCATGAGAGAATACTTCTCTGTCACATTCTTATAAAAAGTATGAACATATTTATACTCTTCGTCTTGAAAAACTAAAGGTTAAGATACTATTATTGCTGAACTTTTAAGTTTATAAAAATTATAAAATGTAGCATTTTCTTAAAAATTTTCAATAATTATAAAATTAATCATGCATTTTTTTTTCTAAAATTATCAAATATTGATGAACCCTAATGAATGATTGAGATCAGTTCTCACTTTTTACAGGAGGGCTCCGTTCTCATTTGATCTTGTGATATAACCGCTCATTAGAATTTATCAATGATTGAGACTTTTAGCAAAAAAATGTGAGAACAATTTTATAATTATTGAAAGATTTAAGTTTGCAATATTTATAAAACTAATTGTTCCATTTTCCCTTTATTTTTAGCAACTCTCAATTATTGATAGATCCGTCGGATTCATCAATATTGAGAATTTTAGTAAATAAAGAAAAAACACGTCAATTTTATAATTATTTTAAACTTTCAAAATTAAAATATTTATAAAACTAATCAAATTCATTTTCTCCTTATTTTTCAACAACCCTCCCTCGTTAATATATACCAAAATGAATAGAACTCATACTAAAATAATTCAAACTTTTTCCACTAGCGAATGCTATTTGATTTTCAATTTTTTTTTTTAAATAGTTCATGTTATTTAGCACCCAAACGGCCAAAAGACAAAAATAATAAATAATAATAATAATAATAATAATAATAATAATAATAATAATAATAATAAATCCATCACATATTCGCCTTTTGCACTATATACCCACCTCGTGAATGTTTACATATTTTTCTTGGTTCTTGGTACATACATGATCAAAATGATGAAAGTGATATTTGAACCAAATATAAGATTTGAAAAAGGACAATAACACAACAAATTATAGATTTGGAGCTCAAGGCTCAAGGAACAAAAGAATCGCAAATTATGTTGTGCAACCGAATGCACCTTGCAAGGTGCATACGGTTGCAAAACGGCGCCGTTTTGATTAAAAAAACGCGCGTCTCACTTAAAGAAGAAATCATGTTCGATTCTCGGCAATAGCATTTTTATATATTCACAAATTCATAACTATATATCCACAAATTCATAACTATATATCCACAATGAATGAATGAATGAATGAAGTAAAAATCCACAATGAATGAATGAATGAAGTAAAAATCCACAACGAATGAACTAAATATCTACAATGAATGAACTAAATATCCAGAAATTCATAACTATATATCCAGAAATGCATAACTATATATCCACAGTGAATGAATGAAGTAAATATCTACAATGAATGAACTAAATATCCACAATGAATGAACTAAATATCCATAAATTCATAACTATATATCCACAAATTTATAACTATATATCCAGAAATTCATAACTATATATCCACAATAATGCTATTGCCGAGAATCGAACCTGAATTTTTTTTTTTTAAATGGAACGCGCGTTTTTAGTCAAAACGACGTCGTTTTGCATCGTATGCACCATGCGCATGGTACATTCGGTTGCACAGCATAACTATTGCAAAAGAATTGCCTTTGCAACTATATATATATATGAAGGATCCTAATTAAACTCCGGCGTTTCGTTGCTTCCCCTAATGCCAAGAAGGTGGCTATTGCTTGTGGATCGTCTTTCCCCAATTGCTGATCGATCATCAGATCACCATTAGTCTTTATGATAAATTTTACTGTTTGTTTGTTGAGCATATATAATATAAAAATATAAATGTGCAATCTCAACTCACTATTAATATAAACTTTTTGTGGAGATAGAATTCAAAATTATGCAATGTTGGCAAGATTTAGACTTTGCCAATCAGCTAATAGCTATATCAGCTAACAACTATTTACTAAACACTCCATTATCAATTATCATGGGGGTGGATCATGCATGATCCACATTATAAGATATGTCATTAATATACAAATTTATTTTAATTTATTGAAAGTTCATTTTTAATGTACAACACGTTTATTTTTTTTGAAGGTTTACTTTTAATATACTATCTAAAAATTTAAATCTTAAATATATTAAACATGAACCTTTAATATACTACAAATTAACATTTATCAGTGATACACTTTGTAATGTGGATCATGACCCACAATAAAATTTGCCGGATATTTTGTATGTAGATTATGTGGTCTATTGGTTTCTTGTAAGTATGGCTGATTTTCGGGAGTGGTTGAACAGCTCTAATGCTTTCTATGCACTTCTTTTGCAATATATTATGATAGAATTAGTTTACTATCTTGCCATGATCTTGTGGTCTAATAACACTCGGGTTGGACTCCCATATGAGAGATTTTGAGTTTAAAAATATCGCAAATTATGTTGTGCAACTGAATGCACCATGCGCATGGTGTATACAACGCAAAACGACGTCGTTTTGGTTAAAAAACGTGCGTCACACTTAAAAAAGAAATCAGGTTCGATTCCCGGCAATAGCATTTTTATATATCCATAAATTCATAACTATATATCCACAGTGAATGATGAAGTAAAAATACACAATGAATGAACTAAATATCCCCAATGAATGAACTAAATATCTCCAATGAATGAACTAAATATCCACAATGATTGAACTAAATATCCACAATGAATGAACTAAATATCCATAAATTCATAACTATATATCCAGAAATTCATAACTATATATCCACAGTGAATGAATGAAGTAAATATCTACAATGAATGAACTAAATATCCACAATGAATGAACTAAATATCCATAAATTCATAACTATATATCCAGAAATTCATAACTATATATCCAGAAATTTTCATAACTATATATCCACAATAATGCTATTGTCGAGAATCGAACTTGATTTTTTTTTTTTAAAGTGAGACGCGCATTTTTAGTCAAAACGATGTCGTTTTGCATCTTATGCACCATGCGCATGATGCATTCGGTTTACACAGCATAACTATTGCAAGAATATGTTATGGGCCAATATTGACATGTAAGTCCCTCCCTATCTCCACTAATTTGGCCCAAAATATCAAAATACATAATTATGAAGCTGAATAAAATTGTATAATAGAAGGATCTTAAAAATTAAATTTACAACATGTTTCAAAAAATAGTTATAAATTTTATAAAGTTAATATTATTTACTTGGCTATTCTGCCCCGCCAAAGGGCAGCCCTATTGGCGGCTCTACGAGAGATATATATATATATATTTCTAAGTTGAATGATGATGTACATGTACCGCTCCTCAGCTCTGACCCCAAAAAAGAAACACAAATGAAATTCTTTCGTAATCTGATAAGTTCAAGCTATACATATGGCTACATGAAATGCACCCATGGTTTAATCATAATTGGCATCTCAGCCACGTGTTTTAGACCTTTCATCCATATAGTCCACAAGATATAATTCTATAATAGTGATGACCTCTATATATCTTCATATTTGACTAGACAATAAATTATATTTAATATAATGTATTGATTAAATAATATATTTTTTGCCAAAGGCCTTTTGGTCCAACGGCATATATAGTTGTGGCCCTCAAATGAAAGGTCTCAAGTTTGAATCCCAGTGTGAGGTATTGACTCTTTGTATTTAGTAAATTGAGAAAGTATTATGAACAGATAGTGAATAATTTTTATCATTCCAATTATATATGTCATCATCACTTCCTGAAAAAATCATATCAGTGACAATTCTTTAAAAACACCCATGATTCCTTACAAGGTAGTATTTGTCATATACTATTTCAATTCCTTTCAATCAAAAGAATCAATGACACACCACACACCCATGATTCCTTACAAGGTAGTATTTGTCATATACTATTTCAATTCCTTTCAATCAAAAGAATCAATGACACACCACTGGAGTTCGATCTTGTGACCACTCATTTAGAATGGTTACTGATAGGGGTGTTCAATTGGTTAACCGTTCGATTAACCGAATTGATTTAACCGGAGTTTTTAAACCTTTAATTGTTAACCGAACCGAAGTCTGTGTTACCGAATTTATATAATTATTTTAAAAAAAAATATTTTAATATAATTAAGATTTTAAATATTTGACATATATTTTGAGCATCGCATATATAAAATACTAGCAAATACATTAAGGTTTTCAAGGTGTGTTTTGACGGCTAAAGTAATAAATATCTTCATCGTGTACATTTATGAACGTGGGGTATAAGACTCGCATGGGCAGCTCAATAGTCATAGAGGTGAAATTTTGAAAGAGTGACCAGGGATTGAGTCTCACCAACGGTAGTGTGAGAGCGGGGTTCCTTGTGCACAGGGGTTCAACCTTTGGAAGAATGAACGTGTTGTATAATTATCTTGTAATTTATAAATGATCAATTTCATTTATATAAAAATTAATGTTCAATTATTGTTGACACACTCCATCGAACCTGTCAAATCTTATTGTCATTAATTTTTTTTTTTTTTTAAAAAAAACTTGGTGGATGTACATACGAAAAGGGTTTTTCCTATTCATGAATTTGACACACTCTCTCTCTAGAAGTTTAAAATTTTAGATAACACCCTTTTTTTGAAGGGAGATAACACCCTTAATTAGTATGAAGTACATGCATGAAATAGCAAGAAAACTTATCCATGTGAAGATAATTAATATAATTATCCAACATTGCATTACTTTATCTGTAACATCATTATCCTTTTGCTCAATGATTAACATGCATTAGTTGAGCTGCTAAGATGCATATACCTAATGATAATAAATAATTAATTATAGTTGAATACAAGAATAAGTTAGGGATATCAATTGGACCAACCCACTTATTTCGAATATGCTCATTTAAGCTTATCGATGAAATGCAATTAAAATTTTATTTTAAAAATTAATATCTTATGTTTTAAATTTTGATAAATTAGCGCATGCACATTAATATAATTTTAAATATAGAACATCATTTGATCAATCCAAATTTCCAATTTCAAAATCCAACTCAAAAACATAATGTAATAATTATTGACATTTGTATAAAGTATATAACTAATTTTTTTTTATATATAAATAAATTTAAGTGATGATTCACAAAAGCTCTACTAAGGTAGTGTTTAAAAAAAATGTGTCTACACCAAAACACTTTAAAACTTGTTAAAACTAAAGATGTATCTATGTCAATTCGTAATAATAATAATAATAATAATTTATCAACGAATACTTAGATTATAGTTTACGAATATTCGTCTCATCAGTAATGAACATCTTGCGATTATAATTATTAAGGGAGAAATTTTGATTTGTTGACTTTTATAATAATGAGTTAATACTCAAAATGGTTCCTCGACTATGCCATAATTACCAATTTGGTCCTCAACTACCATTCTTACCCAATTAAGTCCTCAACTATGTAACTTTTACTCAATTAAGTCCTCAACTATACAATTCTTACCCAATTTAGTCCTCAACTATACAATTCTTACCCAATTTAGTCCTCTGTATTAATTTGACTGTTTGTTGACTGTCAAAAGTCGGGATAAAATTATAATTTTACAAGATTTCTCCTTCCTCTCCATTTAGCAGCGCCAAACCACGCAGCAATACACTCCGATCAGATTTCGATCGTCAAAAAATCATTGGAAATCAAATCCATGGGCTATCCGATGCATAACCACTACTTCGATACTGACAGGTTTAGAACCCAACCGGAGCTTATTGCTACATGGTTTGGCGCTGCTAAATGAGGAGGAAGGAGAAAACTTGTAAAATTACAACTTTATTTCCACTTTTGACAGTCAACAAACAGTCAAATTGACAAAGGACTAAATTGAGTAAAAATTGTATAATTAAGGACTTAATTGGGTAAGAATGATAGTCGAGGACCAAATTGGTAATTACGACATAGTCGATGGACTATTTTGGGTATGAGATAATTTCAATTTTGGTCACATAACTATAGGAGTTTTGTTAATTTCAGCACCTGACTTTTAAAAGTGTCAATTTAGTACCTTGACTATGTAATTTTTGTCAATTTTGGTCATTCCGGCCAAATTGACGGTCAAATTTGGCCGGAAAAATTCAATCCAACACGTAATCTATAATCTGAGGGGCAAAATGGTATTTTGATCAAATTATAAATTAAATGTTGGATTAAGGTTTTCCGTCCAAATTTGACTGACAATTTAACTGGAGTGACCAAAATTGATAAAATTTATATAGTCAAGGTACTAAATTAATACTTTTGAAAGTCAGGTGCTGAAATTAACAAAGTCCTTATAGTCATGTGACCAAAATTGAAATTTTCTCTTTTGGGTATTAACTCTATAATAATGCTAATTCCTTCAAGGGTTGAGTACTTGAATTGTTATTTTTGGTGTATATTTCTTTACTCACATAACCTTATTTAAATAAAATTAATTAAACTCATTATTCTACTTGAATTACGAACCATTAATTAAACTATGATACGATACGTTGATAGTATACATGTCTTTCCACAATTTTTTTAACCTTGATAAAAGAGAATGTACCAATGGCCATCAAGCGGCCGGTCAATATTTGAATGTTTTGTACTATATTTACAAATATTTTTGTTATGACTTAAATAGTCGGCCGGTCATACTTGAACTATTAAGTCGAATTGTTATTGACATCTACTCTTACAAATTTTTTTCTTTCGATCAATTCAATATTTGGATTCAATTTTAGCCTACCCTAGATCAAATCGGTTCTTAAAGACCGGATATTATTGATTATTCTTTCCTGTATCCAAATCAGCATATCTTATCAAATGTTTGACTCCCTATTCCCTACATCTAATCCTATGATAATTTAAACTAATACCATTTTAGTTCCAGCTAACCAATCAAACGTACATCTTCTCTTTACGCGGCGCCTCGACTGCGCCCGCATACCCCTCATCCATCCCCATTCCCCACGTATCTATATAACAGCCTAGGGTTTCCATATTCCATCGAGGAAACAATCTAACGTTGTAAATTTTAATTAAAAATCTGGGTGTGTAATTTAGATACTAATTAAGGGGATTAAGTGTGATTTTTGGGCTTGCTTTAGTTTTTCACTTTTATTTCTGGAAGTGAATTGTGAAAGGGGAAGATTTTCTTGATCGAGCTCAGCCATGGCGCCTGCAGATCTCTCCACCATTCTCCCTAGGGTTCTCATCGTCTCTCGTCGTACCGTTCGCAAGAACAAGTTCGTTGATTTCGTCGGTATGTCTTCTTTCCTGCGAATTGGTTTCACGATATGCCACCAAATTTATGTTCTTTATTCACAAATACATGCACTTGTCTGCTTCTATACATGTGTGTTGTATGATCAAAATTAACAAAATAGAATCTGAGAGTTACACCTAATATGGTGAGCTCCTTGTCGGTACCGTCCCCGACATTAGTTCTCACACCTTATAGGCATATTGATTCTCTTGTCTAATGGAGTTACACATCCAATATGGTTGACTCCTTGTGGGTACTAGCTACCAGGCACCGGTCCTTCCACCTAATGGCACAGTAATTTACTTATTCACTGTCTTGCCAAATGGAGTTACACTCAATATGATGGAATGATTCCTTGTGAGGACCAGCCACCTGGCACGGGTCCTTCGACCTAATGGTGGTACCTTAATTTACCCTTCCATCATCTTGTATTCTTATCGAATAGAGTTACACTCAATATGATAGACATGATTACTTGTGAACCAATCACCAAACATTGGTCCTTTAACCTAATCATCCATTGTCTTATCGGATGGAGTTACACTCAATACATGATTACTTGTAAGGACCAGTCACTAGACACGAGTCCTTTTACTAAATAGCATTGTACTTGAGGCTCGTTGGGTCAGAGCGTGGGTCCTGGGGTGAGGGAATTATATGAGATTGAAATAACATAATATGGAAATTGTGAACAGGAGAGTACCATCTAGATCTGATAGTGAGCTATGGAGCAGTGCCGGTGATAGTCCCACGAGTGAGTGGAGTCCACATGCTACTAGAGAGCTTCGAGCCCATCCATGGAGTTCTTCTCTGCGAGGGAGAAGACATTGACCCGTCCCTCTACGATTCAGAGTTATCAGGCTTTACACCCGAAGAGCTACAAGAAATCAAGAACCTACACGCAAGCGACACAGCCATCGATCGCGAAAAGGATTCAATAGAACTCAGCCTAGCAAAACTATGTCTTGAGAGGAACATTCCCTATTTGGGGATATGCAGAGGGTCACAAATCCTCAATGTGGCTTGTGGAGGCACCCTTTATCAGGACATAGAGAAAGAGCTCTCCAAAAACTGCCCAGAGAAACAAAAAGTTGTGCATATGAACTATGAGGACTATGATGGGCATAGGCATGTTGTTAAGGTCGTGGAGAACACACCATTGCATGAATGGTTCAAGGATTCTTTGGAAGAAGATGATGATGAGAAGATGGAGATTATGGTCAATAGCTATCACCACCAAGGTGTGAAAAAATTGGCTCAGAGATTTGTCCCAATGGCCTTTGCTCCTGATGGGTTGATAGAAGGGTTTTATGATCCAGATGCTTATAATCCAGATGAGGGTAAGTTCATTATGGGACTGCAATTCCATCCTGAACGAATGCGTGCCCATGATTTGGGTAGCTTTGATTACCCAGGATGTTCAATGGCATATCAGGTAAAACTATCACCGTCACTATGAATTAAAGAATAGTTTCACTCCCGTAGAGGTAAGCACATTGCTGAATCATGTAAAACTTGTTTTCTGTCATTTAACATATTTGAGTTGATTAACCAGGAATTTGTGAAGGCTGTAAGAGCATACGAGAAGAAGCTGAGTGGCTCGAGAAGAGTGGAAAAGGATATAAAGCTTAACAATGAGCTAGAGAGCAAGAGAAAGAGCATTGTGAGGAGTTTCTCGATTGCAAAGGACATGTACAGCACAGGAAGAGGTAACAACGACGAGGTTTCAGTCCAGGAATCTGAGCTTCGAGCAGGCGCAGAATTCCTGGAGGAAAACACGGCGCTTAGCTTGCAGCAAGAGAAGAGGCTGAAGCAGATGGGAGCAACAGTGAGGAATGGGTCAGTGTACATTGAGAGGTTGAAGATGACAGAAGAGAGGGAGAAGCTGGCAAAGACTGTGATCGGGAAAATGTCGATAGAACAGCTATCAGACATGGTGGGGTTTTATCGTAAGATGGGGCAGCTGTGTTCAGAGGCTATGGAGAAGAAGCTCAGGATTCATCATGAAAGCTGATCGACCAACACATGATGAGTTAACCTTATTCTCTACAAAACTTGAATATGTATATTTCAAGATATGAATTGTAGCGCATTGCCGCCTATATATATATTTGCAATTTCTGGTTCCTCTGGTTGGCAAGTTTAGTAAAAAATTTACATATATTCAAATTTAAATAGGTATATTATTATTGGTTCAAAAAAATAGGTATTGTTGTTGACTTATTATTATTATTATTATTATTATTATTATTAACATTCCCTCAATATATGTAAAATCATATTATTTAGAATGACTGATAACATAAAAGTTAATATTGATGGGGATATGGGATATGGGCTAGATTTGGTGGGCTTGGTCTAATCAAGTAGCATAAAAGGTGGTTGAGGGAGGTGAGTCAGGAGAGCACGGTTGAGGGTGTTGCCGGTGGTAGTTGGTCGACAGGTGGGCGTGCTGGGCTCTATCAGTATCGCTTGCGTGGCATTTTGCACCTTGTGTTCTGACTGCATGGGCTTAGCGGCGTGTTGCCAGCCAAGTGGTGGAGAGGGCCGGCTCGACGTTCGTCTAAGGGTGATTGGGAGTGGCACGGTCAACTAGGGTGCCGCGTGCCCCGTCACGACTTTGGTGCCCTAGCGTCACCCCCCTTTCGACAGGGGGGGGGGGGGGTAGGTCGTCTTTGTGTGGGGTTGGACGTGTGTGGTGTATGTGGCTGGCGGGAAAGGATGGTTATGAGAGTTGTACATGTAAATAGCACAACGAGGGCATGGTCAGTTATTAAAAGGGGGTGTTCTGTGCCTCCTTTGGGACATCACTTTCTGGTGGTCATTTGCCCTCTCTTTCAGTCGCACCATCGTTCGATTCTCGACAACAACACTACTTCTAGTCCATTGTCCAGGCTACCATTTATATTGTTTATTTATTACTTGGGCTCGAACTTTGTACGTACTTCTTTAGACCTAGTGCCTTCCTACAGGCAAATTATTGTGTGGACCATGAATATCATATACATTTTTAATATATTAAAAGTACATTATTTTTGTATTGAATATACATTATATAAAATAATATACCCTTAGTATATTAAAAATGTACTTTCAAAAGATGTACCTTACGTACATAAATAATGTAACTTACATACATAAATAATGTACCCTTAGTATATTAAAATGTACTTTTTATTTCTGGTCCACACAATTGTGTGGACCATGGTCCGTATAATAATGATTGCTTCCTACATCTGATGTGTACTTTCATACACAAATGGGATTACCCTAATAGAGAATATTCAAAACAAGTTTAGGATTCAAGTGCACTATTCTACCAATAACATTATATTAAAACTCAATTTTTCTATTTTATTGGTTTAAAGGGGTTATTGAAGCTTGTTATTCTTTGGTAAAACCCATTGACCCCACTAAATTTCATCCCTCCACTACCGTGACAACGGAATTGAGCTTAGACTAAGTAATTTTTGACGCAACAAAGTCAAACTGGATACAAAAATAACAACATGTTCAGGTTCAGTTGTCTGATTGTATCCTAGATCATTATAATTTGATATGACCCATTTAGTTTCAAAGTCTTAATATATTAACCCGTTAAGACAAAATATGGACATATTTAATATGTTAAATCTGTACTTGAACATCGCACAAAACTAGCTTTCATACAATTCGCGTTGTGTTCCTTTCCACTTTTCAGGCATGACACACCTGATATCTCAATTAGAGGCTTTGACAGATAATAAGCATAGAATGATTCAATGAAAAGTTATCCAAAAGTGCAAACAGATTATGCTGCCAAAACTAATTTATAGTACCCTGCTACTCCAATTCAAGTGATTCAAAACAAAATTATCGGTTAGTGTACAACTAATTATAGGTTCCCAGGCTACTTACTATAACCCACCGAAAACAAAAAGAGTAACTAGTGTACAATATGGGGCGGACAAAATGAACTTCACTTCCATAGAAAACTCTTATCAACCCACCCCAAGGTAAAAAACAACCCAAACCTAATGATCATCAAGGCAGGGAAAAAACCCATCAGCCGGTTCCATCAAACGTACGTATTGTGTTGAGATTAAAAGTTCATTTTTTTTCCAACCATTCCACAGTGTTGCTAACATGGGGTGGAGCTTGCCGATGCATCATTGCTCTTTTGTCGCCAATCTTAAACATAATTGCCACCGACCATGCCCATAGCAACCTTCATATTCCCCGACTGCCCTGCTCTGCCATTTCAATTCTCTTCTCTTTTTTTTTTTTTCCTTTTTGTTCTTTTTTTTTTTAATGTTTTTCTTTTCCACTTTTTCTCATAGTAATAAATAACAGCATCACAACTCACAAGTCACAGCCCTGACTCAACTTTCCTCATAGTTATACTGCTGCATCAAACAAAAACCATTGGGTTTCTTTGCCTATGACTCTACGAGGGAGTGAGAATTTGGGGAAGAGAAACAAACCATCTTAAAGTTTCAATTTCGGCAGAAGAAACTGAAATCTGGGTGATGGACCTGACGCGTTGTCAGCCAATTTCCAGCGGACTGCAAGAGGTCGTTCACTAATCGACGTTCACATCCTCGCTCAGGGGTCCACAGCGATGATTTAAACTTGTATGAAGCAAGGCCGAAAACAGGTAACAATATATTTGGGATAGCATCCGTCTCACATGGACATGTAATACTTGTGGTACGTGCACCTTGAGTCCCTACAGAGTACAGTTTCAAATCTCAAAAGCAATACCAGAAGAAGGTTCAACATGAAAGTATATATATATATATCATACTAATAACAGTAGTTAGATCAGTATTCAAGCTTTCTCAGAGTTAAAAAGAGTTTCAAAGCAACTATTATAAGCAATTGGAAACACAAAACAAAAAGGGGATTATAGGAGATAGGAGATGATACAAGACAGTGGCAAATTGAACATAAAATAGAAATGCATATAAAAATAGGTGCTTCAGACCACAAAGAAATGGCAATCACATCCACGTAGTAACTAAAAGAGCAAACACCCAAGCAAAAGAATGTATATATATATAATCCAAACACCCTCAATGTAACCCAAAACTTCTTAGATAGTGGCATTACTTGCATCCCTTGATAAAAAGATGCACAAGCAATATAGTAAAACTATTCGGTTCATGAGAGCTATAAAATAAAAGAAAGTTTATATAACCCAAACAACCTCAATGTAACCCAAAACTTCTTAGATAGTGGCATTACATGCATCCCTTGATAAACGATGCACAAGCAATATAGTAAAACTATTCGGTTCATGAGAGCTATAAAATAAAAGAAAGTTTCAGTTACCTGCCACCGGTGTACGAAGATGATGATAGGTCAAGAAGCAAGCATCCAAGGGTTTTAGTGAAGGTCCCATTGGTATCCGGTAAATTGGATACCTACAAAAGTAATATCATAAAGACTAATCAAGTTAGTGTGCACATACAAATGACAATAAACAGAAGGAAAATTCACACTACCAGGCCACTGAAATCCAACTCGATGAAAGTAGGTCACAACTTCTAAGTGTCTTCAACTCAGGAAAACGGACAGCAAGATGTGAAATCTGCAACAGTAGAAGGAGGTCAAGACAATGATTAACTCATTAAAGTAATAATAATAAATAAATGAGTAATAGAAAACATTTACGTCATTAATTCCCTTCAAGGATAAAACTTTACATCACAGACTTTTATAATGAAAGGACCTACCTTGTCTGCCAAAGGTTCCCGGCCATGAGGAGGAACTCGCTCAAGATATTCAAACACCAAGTGACCTTGAGAACGCCCAGGTTCACCTTCATCACTGGAAAAGCCTTCTTGAGATATACCATTCTCATCTCTTAATGACAATCGGTCAATCCCAAGAGAATTTTCACTGGTTTGACAATGGCAACTCCTTTTCTCCCTTGAATAATTCAAGGGACCTCTCTCTTGTTCAGAATCACTACTGCCATCACTACTTGAATCCCTAAAATAATCACCATCACTTTCCTCACCTGGTTTTCTATCACAAGATAAACCCATTTCAGACAAGAAACAAGACAAGTAGAAGTTTTCCACTAACATAAGGAAGCAGAATTTAAACACAAATGCCACTAATTCATTCTAGTTCATTTGCAATATAAAATGCCTTATTAACAATATAAATGCACTACGGTTAACTATTTCCCATCAAAATGGAACCAGTTCAGTATGAAAGGTCCATGACTCCATGAGGCAAGATCACACACATCACCAGTACATGTAACTATGTAAGGCATGTATTGCCTAGTTCGTTTTTTAACAGGTAAATACCAATATTTCACATGGAGAAAGAATAGCTGCAAAATGCTGCAGTTGTATTACTCAGCTCAACCATTACATTCCTGTATAGATACGATTGAAAACATCCTACTATCCAGTGAATATACCATGAAATCTAGGACAAAGAATGGCAGCAATGTGTTACCATCCATGGGTCAATGAGAAAACAAATCAGAGGGAGGAAACAAAAATTTGGAAGAATAAGAACTTGAGCTTCCAAAAAATTCAATCAATCAAGAGCAGTTGGAAACCTAATATAGGTGTAACCAAAAGTTGAGTTGCCATAGTGTACACAGGTCACAGAACACCATTGAAACCAAACAATGCAATGCAGATCATAGCCGGCTTAAACATCTCCATTGCAACCTTCTTACACACTCAATTCAATACTCAAATGGTTAACTGACTTGTTAATTGAAGTAGGTGACAAATTTGTGAAAACATGACAGAATATAGTCAGTGCAATTGACATGCATACACACACGGACACACCTATAAACAATATCAAACAAAAGGTTAAAGAATCTACTTAAAAGTTCACGTATGTTTCTGTGACTAAAGCGCATACAGAGTATTAAACTGATAGTTTCCAAATCGCCATATGCAAAAAGAAGCAATATGATGAGGAATATGGATAAGCTAGCCTTCTCTTTGCAAATAAGGGGCACGTATATCCACTGCTAACAGGCTCATTTTCTATAAAATTTGAGTTGCAATTGGTCTTGTTTGGACCATCACTCAATTATAGTTGTCTCTTGCTATTCAAAAGTACATAATTAGAAAGCAATGGTACTGAATTCAAATGCAGATCATCTATAATGAATTCAGCAA